GAGACGGTGGAAATCGAACTTCACCCGGGTGATTCTTCGAGGATGGTCAGAATTGGAGCAAATCTCCCCGAGGATCTCAAGGAACAGATTACACGGGTCCTCCAAGAATACGCGGGCATATTCGCATGGAGCGTGGCGGATATGCCCGGGATAGATCGCTCTGTTATCTGCCACCGGTTGGCCGTGAGGGAGGGAAGTCGACCGGTACGACAGAAGAAGCAGTACCTGGCCAGTGACCGGCGAGAGTTCGTCAAGAAGGAAGTGAAGGACCTCCTCAGTGTTGGTCACATCCGGGAAGTCAAATACCCAGATTGGCTGGCCAACGTTGTCCTTGCTCCCAAGGGCGACACGTGGAGAATGTGTGTGGATTATACGGACTTGAACAAGGCTTGTCCGATGGATTCATACCCCCTTCCCAGTCCAGATCAAATGGTGGACGAAACTGCGGGGTGCGAACTCCTAGGTTTCATGGATGCCTTCAAGGGTTACCACCAAATCTACATGGCCAAGGAGGATGAAGAGAAGACGTCAGTCCTCACATCCGAAGGAACCTACTGCTATCGGGTAATGGCGTTTGACTTGAAGAACTCGGGGGCAACCTACCAGCGCATGGTGAACAAACTCTTCAAGCCACTACTGGGAAAGACCATGGAGGCATACGTCGACGACATGCTGATCAAAAGCCAGGTATCTCTGAACCACCCGGCTGATATGCGAGCCATGTTCGATATCATGGCAAGGTACAACCTCCGGCTGAATCCTAAGAAATGCGTCTTCGCGGTTCGTACCGGGAAGTTCTTGGGATTCATGGTGACCAAGAGAGGAATAGAGCCCAACCCAGAAAAAATCCGGGCCATCACTGAAATGCAAGCCCCTACCTCCGTTAGGGATGTTCAAAAGTTGACCGGTCGTTTACCGGCCCTTAGCCGGTTCCTTTCCCGGTCAGCTGAAAGATCCCTGTCCTTCTTCAAAGTTCTGAAGAAGGCCAGCGCGTTTGCATGGGACAAAGAATGCCGGAGGGCATTCGAGGAGCTGAAAGAGTACCTAGCGTCGGATATTGTATTGTCTAAACCCGAACCGGGTGAAACTCTGTATCTGTACCTGGGAATTTCCCCAAACGCTGTAAGCTCCGTTTTAATAAGAGATGATGGGGCGCAAAAGCCCATTTATTATGTGAGCAAAGCACTAAACGGGGCTGAGAGTAGATATACGGCGATGGAAAAGACAGCCTATGCGCTTTTCATCTCCGCAAAAAAGTTAACATCCTACTTCCAAGCTCACCCGGTAGAAGTCTTGACTGACCAACCACTGGGTGCAGTGTTGCGAAATTCAACATCCTCCAGGAGGATGGTGAAGTGGGTGATGATGTTAACTCAATTCCACATTGAGTACCGGCCAAGGTCGGCAATTAAGGGACAGGCCCTAGCTGATTTCCTAGTAGAAATGACCAGTCTAACTCCAGACTTACCGGTCAACAAGCCCACTGAGCAATGGTGGGAGATGGCAGTTGACGGGGCATCCGGTCCTAGAGGATACGGGGGTGGTATCGTGTTCACCACCCCAGAAGGGTTCAAGATCTACCATGCAATCGTCTTCAACTTCAAACTGACGAACAATGAGGCAGAATATGAAGCTCTGGCTGGAGGGCTCAGACTTGCCTAAACCCTGAAAATCGGCCGGGTCAGTATCAAATCTGACTCTAGCCTGATCGTTGGGCAAGTGACCGGTAACATGGAAGCAAGGGAAGGACGCATGGCACAATACAAGGACCTTGTACTTGCCCTGTTGAAAGGCTTCGAAGAGTTCAAGATCGCCCAAATTCCCCGGGCGGAAAACGCGGATGCAGACCTTCTCTCCAAATTGACGCAGTATACTCCCGAGCATGTCTCAAAACTTGCCCGGGTAGAGATCCTTGACCGTGCAAGCATCGAAAAATTGGAAGTCGCCGCTATAACGGCCGGAAGCCAATTTGACCGGTCAAACTTAGTCGGGGCGGACGACCATTAGATGTATGATCTGATGGAATATTTGATGGATGGGAGCTTGCCAGAACAAGATGACCGGGCAAGAAAAGTGAAGCTCAGGGCACCCCGATTCCAGATTCTTGATGGAAAGATGTATAAAAGGGCATTTGGGGGGCCACTCCTGAGATGTCTAACCAACCGGGAGGCTGAGCGAGTCATAGCAGAGGTCCACGAAGGCGTATGCGCGGCGCATCAAATGTCCCGTACGCTTTCCCAGCGCATCATCTTGTTGGGGTATTACTGGCCAACAATTGTACAAAATTGTGAAAGGTACGTCCAGAAATGCAGGACGTGCCAAGTATTCTACAAGTATCCCGGTAGACCGTCGACCTACTACCACCCCATATCGAATGTCATCCCATTCGCTAGATTCGGGGTTGATATCATTGGAGCCTTTCCAGTCGCCCAAGGAGGAAAGAAGTTCGTAATCGTAGCCATCGATTACTTCACCAAGTGGATTGAGGCCGAGGCATTGGCCAACATCACCACGCAACAATGTAAGAAATTCATTTGGAAGAACATCATCACGAGGTTTGGAGCGCCCATGAACCTCATCACCGACAACGGCCCACAATTCCGAAATCCAAGATTCACAGAATACTTGGAGGGCTTCGGGATCAAGCACAATCGCTCTTCGGTGGCGTACCCCCAAGGGAATGGCCAAGTCGAAAACGCCAACAGAACTATTGTAGATGGTTTGAAGAAACGGCTGGGAGAGGCAGGAAACAAGTGGCTGGAAGAGCTCCCACACATCGTATGGGCATTCCGAGTAACACCCAGGAGGGCTCATGGGGAAACTCCATTCTCCCTAACCTATGGGTGTGAAGCAAGGCTGTCCATCGAAGCTGAATTCCCCACGTTTCGGGAGTCAAATTATCAACCCCAGCAGAATGAGGAAGATCACTTGGCCGAACTCAGCTTGGTCGAAGAACGGAGAATGACCGTGGAAGTTAAAATGAGCACATATCAACAAGTCGTGAAGAAGTACCACGACAACAAGGTTGGACCGCAATACTTTCAAGTCGGCGATGAAGTCCTGCGAAGAAGGGAGGTTAGTAGACCGGGAGACGGAGGAAAGCTGGCCAAAAACTGGGAAGGGCCTTACCGGGTGAGAGCTATCATTCGCCCGGGGACCTACCGGTTAGAAACTCTTGAAGGTGTACCGGTAGAAAGAACCTGGAATTCCCATCATCTTCGCAAGTTCTACAAATGATTGTAATACTAGGCAAGGCCTACTTTATTATCAATCAAACCGATGATGTTCAATACTCTACTTGGTAGCGGCAGAATTGATAAGTCGAACCTATCCTAGGAGGGCTTCCTGGGTGGATCGAATCCTCTTGGATAAGCCAACTGAGACACAGGCCCGGACCTGGCACGCTGGTTACTACACCGGTCTTGCTCAGTATAATAAAAAAAATATTAAAACCCGGAAGAGGGGCCCGGAAAAGGGTATGCCTGCAAGAGGGCTGGACCTGGAAGAGGGTTCGAACCGTACTTACACGGGCCCATGAGGTTTGACTGGTGTCGGGGAATCAGCCGGCGCCGTCAAATTGATTGGGGACTAAAAGATGCCCATTAAAAGAAATAGAAGGGGATCGTCCACCGTGGCGCATCCTGTTTCCCCCTTCTCAGGGAAGACTTGAACGGGGGGGTGAGCTAAGGCCTTCCCGGGATGGTAGGAATCAAAGGGCCATTAAAAGACTTAATCACCCGGAAGAGGGGGCCCTGGAAGAAGGGTGCATTTGGACCTTGGAGAGGGTTCGAAACCATTCGACATGGTTAAATCTCCAGTATTCTTACCGGTTAAGGATACTTCAAGAATTACTAGGTTACAGGTGTTTCCATCTACAACCTACCAATAAAAAAAAAGAATACCCCGGTCGGGTATGGGCACAACAGAACTTCGAAAGTTCTACATCCATCGAAAGGCAAGGCAGTTGACCGGTCAAACCATGGAGTGAGAATTCACCGGTCAAAGTAAACTCTATCAAAGAATTGGTAAAGCTACCCAAAAGGGCAAAGTAAAGTGTGGCCGGTCAAATTTGTTAAGTTGGCCAAAATGATGAAGACGTTCAAAAAGCAAAAATTGAGATCTGACCAGTCAAAGTTACTCGAGCTAATCCTTCAGATGAAGTAATCAAAGAGAACTTTGAAGTTCCACCGGTCGAAAACAATTGAGAAGTGGCCTAATTTATATACCGGTCAGAATTTCTATGATGGTATTCTAAGAGGCAAGAGCAAAGTATAAATCAACAAGCAAACAGATATGCAAGATCCACCGGTGTGGAAATTAAACATGGCATTCAATTAAAATAAAAATGTCAAATGTTTACAAGTACGCCGGGCATACCCGGGGAAATTTGTTCTAAAAGTTTTACAAAGACAACCGGGCGCAGCCGGGGAGATTAGTCCAGGGGGAAGGGGGGAGTAGGCTCTTCTTCCGGGATTGGGGCCAAGCCGTAGGATGCAGCGGTGAAGTCTGGATCTTTTTTGAGCAGCACCCGGTGAGAGGCGATCCGGTCCTTCTTTTGACCGCTCTTGAATCCGAAGGATCCAATCGCAGTAATCATTTTCCTTCCTTCAGGCTCCCGGTATAGAAGCCTGAAGGACTCCATCGTCGTCTCTGGAGTCGCCGTCATCACCCGGGCAGCTTCAGCCTTATTCTCTTCCACCTAGGCAGCTGCGCGCCCGAGGAAGGTTTCTTCCTTCTCCGCTACTTCCCTCTTGGCTTCAGAGACTTCATCCAGGAGCCGGCCATTCTCCTCCTTCAGTTGGGAGATCTCGGTCTTCATTGCCCCGGCCAGCCCAGACAGCCGGATCAGCTCATCAGCCTGGCTCCTCAGGATGAGTGTCATCTCTTCTTTCTCCTTCTTCAGCCGGTCGACTTCAGAAGGGGAACTCATCCCCAACCGGTCCGCTGTGTGCGGCCCAATCTCCCCCGCCTACACAAAAACGAAACTTACCGGTAAGTTTCTCAATAGAGGAAAAAGAAAATAAAGACCGGGATAGCGGCGGGACTTACCTTCTTCAGCCTCAGCCCCCAGATTAATGAAGACCTCTTCAATGGTCTGGCCGGCCGGCTCAGGATGTGACCTTGCCCTCTTCTTGGCATAGGAAGGGTGCGTGGTGGCCACCTTCTTCACCCGGCGACCGGCCTTTTCCTTCTCCTTCCCCTTGGACCGGTTATCTTGGGGCTCATCTTCATCGAGGATTTCCACGGTCCCTGGATTGACCGGGAAGGTCCTGGCAGGATTGGCTTGGGAGCCCTCGGTCTCCCCCGCCGGTTGGTCGTCGGGGATGGCGAACTCTTCGAACTCCATATCTGCAAAAACAACTAAAATTTTTAAGTACATGCAATGGTACCGGTCAAAGCGCAAATCACAAAAAAAAAAGAATAAAAGTACCTGGGTGGTTCTGGCCCTCAGCCTCTGCAGTGTTGCCCGGGGAGGGTATCCCGCGCCCCGCTGCTTCCTGGGCCTGGGAGGTACTCTCACCACCCGACTCTACCCTCCAAACCCAGCTACCTTGATGGAAGATCCTCCCGGTTTGAGGATCCCCACGCATGAGGATCTCGAGATTAGCTTCCAAGTCTGGGGAGGAGACCGGTGCAGCATACTCTTGGTCGAGGAGATGGTCATTCCATTTCAGACCGGTCGGAGGAGTGAAGAAGGGGGGAAACTCGATGAAGACAAACTTTTCCTTCCATCCCTGGTTACTCTGGGGGACTTCGGAAATGAACTTCCTACCGGTGCGGGCTTTGAAGAATACAAAGCCTTCGCAGCCAGCCCCGCCCGGTAGGACTTCGAAGCAAAAAAGGAAAAGACGCAAAGAAGGGAAGATTTTCACATGGGTACAAATATTTACAAAAGAATGGAGATACCGGTGGGCGTTAGGTGTTATTTGACCGGGCAAAATCCTAAACGCGTGGCATACTTCGGTTAGGAGGGGGCGAAGGGGAAAAACTATGCCCGCATCCAGGGATATGGTGTAGAACCCTATCCTATCCTCCCGGTGGGGTTCGACAATGTTGGGCCAGTTGGGCTACCCATCCGGGAGCCTCCTACGAATTTTGTTCAAGGCGATTTTGGATACACGGGAAGGGATGTCAAGGATGTAGAAGGTGGGGAGTGGAAAGTAACCGGCAGCATGAAGCCGCTCCTCCCACGCATCCCGGGTTTCGTGTTCAGGGTCATAGGGACCCGGTTCGTCATCGACCGGGTCATCCCTCCCCACGAAAGTATCACCGGGCATCTGATTTACAGGATGCGGGTCGGGAATGGAGGAGTTGGGAACCTGACCGGGCATGGAGTCAGGAGAAGAAGACCCGGTCGAAGAAGAGGAGTTGGAGTCCTCAGAGGAGCAGTCCTCTGAGGAAGAGATCATATCGCTAAAAGAAGACATGACCGGGAAAGTAGAGAAGGAAGGGGAAACTTACTTGGCTCGGAGGGCTGGATAGCGAGAGAGAGGAATTTGACCGGTGAAAGCTCTAGGAGGCGAAGTGCGAAAAGTGAGAAGTGAAGGGGGTTGGAGGCCTTTATATAGGAGGGAGGAAGCCGAATCAGGCGACGTGGCCTCTCCAGGTTGCGCCGCGTCAGGCGGCGCAATGATGACCCACTGGCAGGCGAAACGACGGGTGGGCCGCCGACCGTTGCAACGACGTGTGTCCAACACGTGTCAAAAACTCTGAGTTCAAATTTCAAATTTTGAGATTTTCGGGCGGGAAAAGTCTGAAATTCAAATTTGAGGTCCCGTTTTAGACTTTTTACTTCCCGCTCATGACAAATTGCATGACCCAGAAGTGGAGGGCTTATTGATGGGTGTATTTCACCCACGACCGGTCAAAGGAGGAGGCCAAATCTTTGACCGGTCAGGAAGGGAGCCTTAAGTCGTCAGCAAAACGACATATCTTCGGCCAAAATATGACCGGTATACTTCACAAAAAAGTATACCGGTCAAACTACGTTATCATCCTATTTATTCCAGACTTTGATAAATTCATCCCTCGGAGATTGCCCGGTGTAGTTTCTAGGGTTGGAAAGTGTCGGCAGAAGAGGATCTGCGAGGGCTTGGCGTGTAGCGGCCCGTGTCAGTAGAGGACAACTGGAGATGCTGAAGAATCCATCCAAGGCACTACTCGACAAAGGGAATGATCCTCCTCACAAGGCGACAAGGCAACTCGAGGACGAAACCAGTCACCTCGCACCACATCAACAGCATGCCCCCACGTGGGCGCACGTGGTCCTGTCCCCTTAGCCTAGTATAAATACTCATGTAAACCTCAGAAAGAGGGATCCGAATTCATTCTCCCTAAACTCCCTTGTAAAAGCACCCGTGCATTCTCCGTTATAATATAAATTGGGCTAGAGGTGTTCCACCTAAAGTCCTACCGGTCAATCTGCGTGTTTTTACCTTTCTTACTTTGCCAAATTAATCAAACTATTCTAGACCCGGTCTAGTATAGTTTGACCGGTCCAGTAATTTACACCATCAGGTGGTGTAGATTTGGTTTGTGGTTTGGAAGGAATGAAGTTTACCCATGCAGGTACCCCGTCCTCTCTTAGTTCCAAGTTAAAGAAAATTGTGAAAGTTTGTGGCTAACTTAATCATCAATTTGTGTTTATGAATAAAGTCAAAAAATTAAATCTAAGGGTCTGTTTGGTACACGAAATTTACGAAATTGGAATTGAATTGGAATTGAAATTCTATGGAATTGAATTCAATAGAATTGAGCTTTCCAATTCTAATTCAGTTTTTGTACTACCAATTCCAAATTCCAATATTTCTGTGCTACAAAACACTAGAATTAGAATTGAAACCTCAATTACAATTTCACGGCTTGAAATCCGTCTACCAAATGGAGCCTAATATTTTTTATATTTGTAATTAATAATGATTTCTTAATTTTTCAAAGTTATATAATTTTTTTTAATGTCTTTTATGATAAATTAGAAGTCAAAGTTTAACGCAACTTTTTGGTAGAGACTAAACGTTTTAGAAGAGAAAAACAAAACTCCATTAATTGCGTTATCACACATGTCTCCTTTCCAACACCCACTCCACCCAATCAAAGAATGTTTGATATGACGCAAATAAAAAATAAATATAGGTGCCAAACCAATTTTGATTGAAAAATATACTCCTTCCGTCCCTAAATATTTGTCACTTGTATTTTCCAAGGTAAAATATCAAATTTTTTCAATTTATTTTATTTACATATTGGCATAGAAATAAAAAATAAAATTTACATATTAAAAAACTACATAAAAAGTTATTCGAAATAAGAGGTGTCAAGAATATTTTATTTTATCAAATAACCAATGAAAACGTAGAAATAAACAAAAGTTCTCGCGATTACTGAAAAAGTAAATGTGACAAATATTTTGGAACGGAAGGAGTAGGTGGCAACTAAAAATAATTACACTCTTTATTTTTGCACTTTGATTAATTAATTACTTGATAAAATGAAATATTCTTATGACCTTTTTTGTGGAACTTCTAACATAGATTTTAAATATATATAAATTTTATTTTTTATTTTTATATCAATTTTTAAATAAAATAAATTAAAAAAATTAAAAAACATATGTCATTTTGCATACAATGTAAAACATTTTAGGACGAAGAGAGTATTAACATTTTAGAAGGGAAAAACAAAACTCCATTAAAAATAGTTGACTCGTATAAGGAGCTTTTAAAATAGTTCAAACATGTGCCAAAAAATACTCGTAGTTCAAAAAGAAAAAAAAAGAAATGAAATGAGCATTATTTATTGTTTATCAAGACATAAGCAGTCCATATGATTCTTTTATACTAAAAATCAAGTACTCCGAAATATTTTCTAATAACTGAATATAATTTAAAATACTACAAATTATTTTTCTTCTACTACCTCCGTCCCAATTTATAACGCCTGTTTCGGTTTACGATGTTTGACTGAAATTATTTTCAAACCATTTTATATGACAAATGGTATAGAATTTAAAAATAAAAATTACGTATTAAAAAACTACATCAAAAGATCTATAAAACTAGTAGTGACAATAATATTTTATTGTATCAAATTGCTAACGAAAATAGAGAAAGAAAGTGAATGAAGTTTGACCTTGTAAATAGTAAACAGACATTATAATTTGGGACGGAGGGAGTATTTTTTAAAAAATTTTAATCAATTAAATGTAAGTCTAATATATTACATAATATTAAAAATGCATTAACCTTTAACCCATTGTATACGTCACAAGAAAAATATTTTGACTCGCTCATTAACCTAGTTCGACCGATTAACTCTTGAATCATTTACCTTGCTCTTCGATTCAACATCCGGTTCAATTTTTAGAATATCATGTGAGGCACAACACTACATATTTTCCTAGAAGGGCATTCACCAACATAATTGATGATATTGAACTAGAATATAGTGTCTTTCAGCTTAAGTAGTCCTGACGAATATGACAGTTTTATCTGATATAATAATTCCTTGTGTGCACCAAATACAATACATTTTTCTAAAAATCAAACTAAGATTTTATCGTGATCTTTATCTCAGTATTGAAGTCACGTTGTATGGGGGTGGATACCCCCCATCCCCTAAAAAGTATAGTGCCTTAATAAACCACTTCAATATCCCTGTACAGTCTAAAAGTTTTTAAAATTATTCCATGTACTCAAAAAGAGGAACAAATTGTCCCTTGTACTACTCTGTTATTGTGTTCAATCTGGTCTTTACTTTTGCTCTTATCTATGGAGTACTACACAAAACTCTTAACAATGACATAATTTTATTTTAGACAATCTAAAAATTGCTCTTTTTACATATTGGTTCATATTCTGTTTAACTTTAGTCACCATAAAATATGTCTTATTTTTCAACGATGATAATGTCTTATTTTTCAACGCATGCGGTTGCCAGAAATAAAAATCAAATTTTTTTCTCAATTAGAACTTCTTGCTCAACTAGCTAAACAAACCCACCACCATTTTAAATAAACGTTCATATGATGATGGTAGCATGCAATTGTTTATTACCCTAAGAAGTCTTTAAAAAGACATGTATGAAGAAACTCAAAACGAATGGTGTGCGTCCTATAGAAATGTTGGCGGTGAGAATTAAATGGGCCAGAGGTCAAAGCCCAACATGGGCCAATCCAATCCCAATATCTGGGCTGGTCATGATAATCTTGGCCATTTGGTGGTTTTAAGCCTAGATCCTATTGTTCCGTTTAGTAAGTTTAAATCCGTTTTTGAGATGATGTAGGCCCGATTTGGCATCAACATTTGAGATTTGCATTTACATTTTAAAAAGGCTATCTAATAATAGCCTTTAGCATTATCATTATCAAAATTAATCTACATTATAAAAATTTTATCCAAAATGCTAACAGTAATTGAAAACTCTGCTTCGAAACAACGGTAATGAATGAAATTATGCACTCAATGGAAACTTAGACTTTCGGAGTAGATTTCAAAATCTGTATTTGATTCAAAACACTTGGGAATTCAATAAATTTGGATTTGGATTCGAATTTGAGCCAAATTCAACTAATTCCAAATATGACTCAATTACAAAATCAAATTTCAGAATTAAAATCCAAATATTCAAATGAAATCTAGAGTCCCAAACACTAATACTCCGTATTATTTACTCCATACCTTGTTCTATTTCAATGAGTACTTGCATCAGCTTAACTTCTTTTTTTGGGGGGGTCTCCCCTAATTACATTTCACAAATGTATTCTTAAGAATACATTTCACAAATGATGCTCTATAGTAATAGATATTCCACATTTAGTCCAGTGTTTTATAAAATTCTATTGGGTGTCTACTTCTAATGCCATTTAAGTCTTCTTTACATCAAGTTTCAAATTGATAAACTACCAAAAAAACATTAAACGGCAATTTTCCAAATTTATAAGAGAACCTTAATTACAACCCCCTAGTATACAATAGCATAGAGACTAGCACTGAATAATATTCACAATTAATGTGAACTTACAAAATATTGAAGACATTTGTAGAATTTAATTTAAAAATAAAACTTCACCTTTCCCTTTCAAAAACAAAACATTCATGTGATTCAATAATCTTTAACCACACAGTTCCATTTTCTCAAGGTCAGGTGGAATAGAAAACAAATATGAGGATGGAGGGAGTAGTATCAAAGAGGGCAAGCATTGCGATTTCAGGCACGAGAAAACCGAAAAAAGGATAACCAATGCACAAGCCAAGTGAAACCCAACTCCACACAGAAAGCTAAGGTTCACACTGATATCAGCTGGCAATTTATGCTAAAACCCAAACTTTGTATATACATACATACATACATACACACATACATACATACATATATATATATATATATATATATATATATATATATATATATATATATATATATATAGACACACACACACACACAACTTTGCCTCGAAGACCTTCCTAGGAACTAAGGGGAATGCCATTGGTAAGAATTGATATGTGCCCTTTTTTTCTGTAAAAAGCAATGTCAAAATG